TATATTTCAGACCACACAAGGCTGCATACTTTTACAAAGATCTGTGTCATAAATTGGGTGTTTTTTACTAGACACAAAGTCTCTTACAAGTTGGAGGGGGGAAAAAATTAGAAAAAGCTGAAAGAGATGTATATATAGCTTGATTGAAGAAGAGGAGAGGTTCACAATATCAATTCTTTACTTTGCTGCACAAAGGTCTGACCATTGTAAAAAACAAATCAGCCAAAAGAAAAGATACTTGAATATGATTTCTGGAGATGAGACAGATGTAGGCTTGTAGCACAAAAATAAGAGCAGATTATACAAAGGTATAGGATAGGAAGAAAAATGGCAAAGGATAGGGAAAAAGAGGATAGGACTTCCTTGCCCTTTAGTGTGCAGAAAGGGCCGATCGATAGAGGTGTAATGAGTGTGGTATTAGCTGCGGTGTAGAGGGACTGAAGCGGGGCAGAGGGGGGATGGAGAAAGCCAGGATCTGATTCCCAACAGCAAACAACACAGAGCTGCAGACATCAAAACCAACACCTGAGAACACCTATTAAAGCCAGATGACCCTCAGCTCAGCTAAAGATGGATTCAGCCGTAGACAAACTCTCCAAACGCACATATTTTACCCAACCTGCAGGCTAGTTTCACCCAGTTTTCCAGACTCCCACCAAAAGAAGGCTAACGGAGAAAAAGCAAGCCTAATCCTCCCTAAGAAAAGGATCACACTCAGCATCACCTCTCCTTTTTTATACAGATTAAACAACAATGGCTTCTGCCACTCTCTTAAATCGACTACACAGTGGCAATTTGTATTACAAAGATGGAGACACATGGATTGTCATAGCTTAAAGAGAGGGAGAGAAGGGGGTGGGAGTAGAGGAGTTTGGGGATAGCCATCAGGTACACTCAACACCAATCTGTTCATTCGTCAATGGGCTCCTTCTGCTGGAGTGCCATGTGCAGGGCACAACGCAAGACACAAACCACCCAGGCAAGTGCAAGCTGGGGCAGAGGGGGGTGGGGGGTATTGGGCTCCCCTGAATAGATGGATCAAAGCAGGGATAGAGAGTTGGCCCCTGTTCTTTGTACTTGCGTAGCTCCCAAAACAAACGCACCATCCCATGCCTGTTGGAAGCTGCACTGTGTAAGCTGGAGACAGGAACAGATGGCACAGAGAAGATACTTCGGAGAGTAAAGTGTTTGGAACATCTGTGGGCTTCAATTAAGATAGACTGGTGATTACTTTTTAATGCAAGATTAAATACTATATAACGATCATATATATTGTATGCAGTAAAGTGATATGAACAAAGCTGCTTCTACAATTACTATTATTCTGTTGTATAAATACTACTAATAAGCTAATTTGTTTGCTTGTGAAACAAAAACTTGTCTTGACCTGTTGTCAGAGCTTTGCATTTTTGTGCAAAACTTAAAAGGAAAAGATAAGGAACATTTTTTTGAGCTTGCATCAGATGACCTTAATTAGCCCCAGCAAAAACCATTCTGAGTAAGATTCGCAACAGCTGTCGAGAAGGATATCTACTGGGTTAATCCGTTTAATCTTTCATAATCTAATGTTTAATCAACAGTTCGCTGAAAAGTAAAAGAAGTTCTTTGTGCAACGTTTATAAACCTGAATATCTGAGGTTTTTTTTTTACTTTAAACGGGAAAATCTCATAAAAAGAATCTAGGCTGGAAAGATTCTTCCAGTGGTTAGAAGGAAATGCGAATCTCAAACTTTTTAGGCAAACAAGTGTTGCAGTCATGTTAGAATGAATGGATGCAGCCTTTTGAAATATTTACTTCTAAGATATTTGTATAAAGTAGCTTGATAAAATGCTTGTTAAATGATTACGCTCACTAATCGGCTTAAAAGTGATTTGTTGTTACCCTTTCAAAATAACAGCCTTTAACCAGGTGTTATACTTTTTTTCAATAAGTCCACATTTTGTGTTAAAATTTGTATTTTTATTTGACTGACAACACATTTAAATTTAAATGTTTTGTTTTCCTTTTCTACAAGGACCCTAACTGATAGAATTAAAGGTTTGTGGGTGTTGTGAATAACAAGATGCTTTAGTTTATCCCAGATAGAGTTCTCATTCTCATTTTGAATTTTGAAGACTTTTTTTTTTTTTAAGAAATTAGGAAAAAAAAAAAAACTTCTTGTAGTTTTAGCTGGAAATAATTTTAGGATTTTATGGTTTATTCAAATGAAAACAAGCAACAAAAACAAACAAATAGCAATCTGGAATCAGATTTCAAAGTCAGCATCATTAGCCAGCCATGCTGTAAGGCCATATTTTCTCACAGTATTTACATTTAGCACCGCTCAAGTGGGCGCCTACTTCCCCTTGACTGAGCATACCAACAAGCAACAGACAATTCCCTAGTTGAGCTGCTGACAGACATACTTTTCATTAATTTATTATGTTTTTTTTTTCATACCTGTTCTGTTGTCAAACAAGGTCACCAGGTAACCAAGTTATGTCCACTGCTTCTGTCTAAGATCTTTTTTAACCGTTCCGATCCTCCTTTTGAAAAAACTAGTCACTATCATCATTTCAAAGTAAAATTCAGTGATTTGTTTAAAATGCAACAATCAAAATCACCCCTTTTATATAACAATATTTCAACAGGCTCTGAAAAATCAGTCTCATTCCCTGCTGTTGACAAGAGAGACTACCCCCCTCCCGCCTCCCCCCAGCTCCAGCCCATCAAAGACAGGGCTTCCAGTAGATATAACCCATGCTATGGTAATCACATGCTAATCACACTTAACACCAGCACAGGGTCCTATACTCTAGATTAATGCATCCGTGGCATATTCACGTTTCCATTAGCATAAATCAGGTTCACCCTGCCTTTGTAATTAGTGTTTTCATGAGAATGATAATAAGATATGGTGATTAGGTCAGGGTACTAGAATAGAAATGACTTGTCAGCTAAGTCCAGCCTCAAACAGCCCGCACATGATAGACCATCAATATGTGCTTCCTCTAGAAGCAATTAATGATGTTGAAAGGTAATTGAAATTGAATGTGGAAAGCCAAAGTAGACTATTAATCAAATTTCTGAAAGATATTGCTTTAGCATTATTTCTTCTTTCTTATATCAGTCCTTATTTTCCCTTTGGATAGCCTGACTCAAAATGTTCATATGTCATTTTATATATATATATATATATATATATATATATATATATATATATATATATATATATATATATATATATATATATATATATATATATATATATATATATATATATATATATATATATATATATATATATATATATATATATATATATATATATATATATATATATATATATCGACAGCTAAACTCTCTATATATATTGTTTATTTGTAAAATGCACAATTTAGAATATATGTTGACATTAAAATGATTAAACACTTTCGTTATTCCTTTTAATATAATCATTAAATTTAGGTAATAATTTATTGTTTTATGTCATTTCTGAGAATGTCAAATAAAATCTTAGTTTCAAATATGATATACAATATAATATAATAAAAATGTACAAATATATTAAACCCATTTCTTGGAGTCAAAACAACAACATAAAAACAACTGCAATCTCAGTCATAAGAGAGTAATTATATCTGAATCTGATCTCTTTTTGAATTTTTCACAATCTTTCTTTAAAGTCAATCAAGCTACACTATGGAAAGTATTGGAGAAGGTTTGCAGTTGCCCTTTCCTCACCTCTATTAAATACACCTGCACCCTCCTCATCCTCTGTCCTCTAAGATCACAAAACAATAAAAACCTCTTCGTCCTCTCTGCAGTCAATGTGTCACTGTTCAGTGCAGAAAAATAGGGAGAATATATTGTACATTATGTGTTTTTACATATTTGGCCTGTAGTGAGGGAGTCACTTTTCCGGATACAATAAACATTGAATACTGTGTGTCTTCTGCCATTTCGTTTGGGAAGACATTTTGAAAAGCTCAATGTTTGCTTTAATCATTTTTAGACAATCTTTAATTTGTGCTTTGAGTCTTTGTCCCATTAAAACACTCAACTGCATCTAAGTAGGAACTAGTAATTAAGACTATTTCCTTCAGAAAAAAAAAAAAACTTTGAGGAGGATCAGGACATCCAGAAACCTGTAGAAGATGGTAGATCATCAGTGCGACTCTTGAGAGTACAGCGATTTGAACGTTGCCATGGCCTGAGCCTCTAAATAAGAATCTTCAACCTGGAGAAAACTTTGCATCCGCCTACATGGAGATTTTATTTGTCCTCTAGGATAAAATTGACAACCTGAAGCATGTATTCAGTGTAGAATATCCAGTAAACTGATAAGAGTGGGTGTTGCAATAATGCTATCTTTATTGCATAGACCTGGTTTGCTGCCTGTGTATTGAGCAAAATGAAAGATTAAAGAAGGCTTAAGTCAAACTGCAAGTTCTTAAATGCTCTCTCAAATCAGGAGTTAGAAATCTGAAACCCAAACAAAACTAGATTATGTAACAATACAGTGAATACAAAAACACACCAATGCTGATTTTTAAATGGATAAAACAGACAAACATTGGACTATGCTTGCAAAATGGAATTCAACCATTTCAGATAACATTACAAAACAGGCTGGATAAATAGTCCTCCAGAAATACTCTGCAGCCTTTTGGATGGGCATAAAAATAAGATTGCATTGATGTGCAACTTCTAAAGTGACACTTAACCATATAATTGTGCATGGTACAACTGAGTAAATGTTTAGTACCCGTGTTATTTGTACCAAAATCAGAGAAAAGAAGTGTTCAAATGCTTTTTAAAAGGTTCAAAGGTAGAATTATACTCCTTGCCATTATGAGTGTATGTAAAATTCTCACCAATGTGAAACTGTTGTTAATGTGTAACTGCGTTGCATGCTACCTAGTTTATTATTAAAAGACAAAACATAAAGTAAAGGGCAGTAATCACCGTCCAGTGATGGGGTTTACTCGTTGTGAATTTTATGTCTTTTGGGACATTTTTTTCCCCCAATGGTTGCCTCTGACATGGAGCATTTCTCTCGGAGTGGTGAACCTGCCTTACAGATGAGAACCTACCGTACATGTCTGTAACCAGCAGATGAGATCAGCTGGAGCAATAAAGGAGCTAAGAGGTAAGGTATTGAGATTTAGAATGGATAAATCTAAAAGCTGGACAAAAGAGGAAAGTAACCCTAATGGGAGCTTTGAAAGATATTACTGTGGTTTACTTTTCTTTCTATATGACATATTTGGTTCTGTGCAAAGTGATGGAAGCTGACTGTTTCCTCTTCCACTGAAAAAAAAACATCTTTGTTTTATTACAGGTATTAAAATGTCTTGCTGAGCTGTTTTATCACAAGGTCAAAAAAAGCTTAAAAATAAAACATTAAGCAACTAAACAAAACTGGACTTTTAGTTGTTTTGGTGGAAAATATTTCATTCTTCATCTCAAAAGAAATTATTTCGAGTTGAGAAGGATGCATTATTTTATAACTACAAAAGTGAGGTCCCATTTTCAATGATGTGCATCTGGTAACATTCTCATGCATTTGGCATAGATGAGGATGAGATGATCACGATATAGAAATAGCATGGTTTCCCAGTATTATGTTATTAATACGAAAAGGTAATCACAGTGATCAAAGACATCAAATACTTCATTTAAATACTAATTTATTTGAGAATAAATATAGAAGCAATTTCAAGCATGTTTCACAAAATGCCTATATTATTTTTATTTTTTTTTTTTATTTTAAATAAAGGGGAAAAACTGATATTGGTTGCCTCATAAGTCAAACCTGCTGCTTACAACGGATCATGCTCATACTATCATATCTACTGTCTTAGTGATGGATGGTGCTTCTTTAATGGTTTCTTTCTTGGGGTTTTACTATTCTTCTAGGTGAATAAAAAGGATAACCAAGTACATTAACAGGTGCGAGTTACAAAACTTTTTTTTGGCACTTTTTTACAATCATTTTAAGGAATTACTAACAGAATGATGGAAGTATTTTGGTGGTTTTATGATTTTATCTTTTTTAAAGTCCTTTAAGTCTTGATTCCAGTAAAAGGTATTTTGGTGTTTCTTTATTTATCCTAGTTGGGGTTAAATCAGTGGGTTTTGAATTTCACCAATGACAAACATACCAACCAAACCATTCATTTTCATTCCCAGGTTGCACATCAAATGGATAACCAACAGTGCATCTCCCGTCCAGGCAGAGAAAAAGCAGTTTGAATAATTTGTGGAGTGTGTTTTTAAGTTATTCCAGCTCCCTTCAGCACAGCAGCGCCTGACCCTTCTCCCCTTCTGTCTGCTAAGAGGCCTACGGGGAGGAATCAGACCAAATTACCTTTATTGATCCAGAGAGACAGGTGAATACCAAACAGGCCTCTTTCCCTTCGCTCATCTTATCTTTCATCATTTCTTTCTCCTGTCTGGGTGCAGCAGCAGAGATTATAAAAAGAAAACAGTGGATTTTTCTTTTATGAGAAAGGGACTATTCCAGCCATCAGCCTTTGCAGTAATTTACTGTTTACATTCAGGTTTCTGTGATTAAACAGGCCTCCTTGTTGCTCATCATTCACCATCAACAACAAGAAAGAGAAACAGACCTGGCTGCTTTTCTGCCTCCTATCCACAGACGCCCTTTTGGCCCAGCATACAAATCACTGTGGTGGTGGAAAAGATACTCCATTAGGTCCAACTCTGAGTTAAATCAATGCGTGACTTATCAAATGAAATAGGGGATTATGAGGTAATCACCTGACAAACGTTGCTGAAATTGTAATTATCTCCATCTCAGGAAGAAAAGACCAAACTAACTATTTAAGTAGACGGTAAGATAGCGAGGTGCAAAAGAAGCACATCAGCTTTTTCTCTATCATGTAGGTGTGGGAGATGGGATGTTTGTGATTTTGTTTCAAAAGGAAAATATTTACCTCGTTTCTTGGCTTATTAATACAAAACCACTGCTCAACCTTTTTTTTTTCACACTTTCCTGATGAAGCTTGATCGCTGTTGCTTGTATGTGACAAATATGTGGAACAGTGTGGATGATGGATAATAAGTATAAACAGTACAATGAGAGGGTTATTTTACTTAAAGAAGATGAAAAGATATTTAAGTTGCTAAAAAATTCAATTAAGAAACAATGTAATGACTTTTGCTAAAAATAGAAAATACAAATATTATATAAATAAATCATTTTTTTTTTTTACTTCAGATATTAAATATTTGTTTCATTAACAGCATTTTTGGTTTTAAACGTTAGGCTGAGAGCTACAAGTCTGGGTAAAATAAAATTGTAATTATTGTTATAATAATAATAATAATAATAATTATTATTATTATTATTATTATTGTTGTTGTTGTTGTTGTTGTTGTTGTTGTTGTAACAGTAATAATAATAATAATATGTTTTTCAACATTCCACCTTTGTTTATTAAAATTTGAAATTCGTATGTTGCTAATTATTTCTTCAGTGCAACACTGCCTCCAGGCGGTACCACATTGCTATTACAATAAGTACTTTTTTTTTTTTTTAAGTTAAGCTACTTGAAATGAAATGAAATGAAATTTTATTCGAACATGATACAAATATAAAAAAAATAAAATAGTGCACAGTAACAAGAAGTGCATAAAAAAAGAATAGAAAAAATACAGATATTTGTTTCAATTAACATATCATGCTCAAAATGGGGTAGGAAGAAGTGAAAACTTATTAACTCCTACCCCCTAAAAACATGAAAACTTACAGTCCTACTGTTATTAAAAAAATCAAAGTCAAGTGAAAGTCAAAGTGGCAGTCAGCAGTTACTAATATTTACCTAAACATTTCCCTTTTTATGCTGGTTTGTCTTTCCAAACCCTTACACCAAGTTGTTATCTTCAATACACACATTTTTGCTTTCTCTCACTCATATGTCTATCTCTATTGAAAATGACCTCCTTATATTTTCTTTTGAATTGTATTAAACTATTGCTTTGTTTTAAATCTTCATTTAAGTTGTTCCATAACTTTACACCTTTAATTGAAATACAATTAACGCCATCTACTGGTCAACTTAAACATACAAACAAGGGAGATTTGGAAAGAAAGCCGAGTTTATGTTACGTAAATAACAAAAAAGGGTAATGTTTTCCTTGTTTATCCAAAGGCAGCATAGTAACCACTGTGAAGCACTTTAGTAACTAAGCTTTTGAATCCGAAATTGCACTGAATTTAATTACATTTCTAATATTACTATTCTGTACAAAAATGATCATAGACCAGTGCATTAGAAGTGAACTCAACTTATTGCAGTGGTTTTCCTACCATTTTGACCATTATTGTTGACTCATTACAACCCCAAAATTTGATCTATGTTAATGTGATGTTATGTGATAAATAAAACATTTCACAGAACTGTGAAAGAGAAATACAAAATGGTTTTATTGATATTTAAGTTAGTTGTAAGCGCATATCTAAGTGGATGAAAATAAAAATCATGACATAATGCACAATGTTTTGCCCACACAGCATTTTGCATGAATCCCACATTGTGTCAAACCGTCAATTTTATTTTGTTAGGATTATTTTCTATCATTCATGTATGTGCCTGTTAAACCCCAATAATACCTGTCTGTTATGAGTATAATGTTTTCCAAAGCAGTTTATCTACTTAGAACAGTTATCATCTTCATTATGCACAAAACAAAGATTTGGGAATGAAATAGGAGCAAAGACAGAGTAAGTTCTCTGTTAAAGATGTACCGTAAACATAGAGCTTTCTTTTACAATTTGGCTTTTTTCAAGCATACATTTCTTCATGTCACTCATCTACAAGGACTAAACAATTGTCATGTGGACTTATTCTCCAACCTGAGCTCTGGATCTCTGCAGATCAGAGTGATTTACTGTATGTTGGGGCACTTGGTCGCTTCTTTTAGTAACGCTTGGCTTTCTCTGATCAATACCCCAGTCTTTGTAAGATTAAAGTTGTGACATACAATTTCTGTATTTAGATGATAGAATTAACAGTTATCTGTGATATTTTGAAAGCATAGTTTATCACTCTATAACCTTTAATATTCGTAATATTTCCTCCCTAATTGTTCTGTTGCATATAACATGCTGTTATAATATCATTATATAACCTTAAAGGCCTTCATAAATCTGTTGTTTTATATTAAATTCAAACAAAACATATGTTGTGTAATTGTATATAATCTTAAAATGAATGCTGGTTAATAATGTCACAATAAACTAGAGTGATGATAACTTTTTACATTTTCACTTGCAAAATATTTTATATATATTTATTATTTTCTTTGCACTTTTCACTCCTGTAACATAAAATATAAATATAACATAGATAAGTTTGTGACTATAATTTTATTTATTTTTTTTTTTTTATTACAGCTGTAAAATTATTGCTACATACTACAGTGGTAAGTCACAAAAAATTGGTCTGGTTTTTAAATGTACAACAATCCTCTGACAAGCCTGACAAGCCTAATATAGGCTTGCTAGGCCTTTTAAAGATTGAATTGATAGAAGTTATTTGCTTTCAAACACGCCCTACTTCATTGGGACATTAGCACAAAATGTTTTTTTCAGAATGCTTATTTTATAAGTAAATTATTAACATAACACACCTTTTTAACAGAAAAAAACAACCTACATCTGAATTTATGCAAACAACTGAACAAAGAAGAAACAACTCTTCAATGATGTCCTCTGCATTCCCTGGGATTTCACTTGAAGTGTGACCATGGGAAGCAGGGCCATCAGCTTTGCCGACTCATACTTTGTCACCATGCTGGTGTCTGGAATCACACCACAATCAATGGTTAAAGCTCACAGGAGGATGCCAGCAGTTGCACACTCCATAGCTGCATAAAACACTTGTCATGCTGCAGTTACAAAACACTGATTACATTTCCCTCAGTTACCATGCAGGAACTAATGCTGACATTTTTCCTGGCTTATTCTAAATGTTTTAAATAAAAAAGTAATCTTTAAACATTTTTGCTTCTTGGAAAGGTTGAAACTTTTCAAAAGTCACAATATTCTATAAAGTCTAACTATGATTTTATAATATTTGAGTACTTATACCTTTTATTTGCAATTATAATGTATCATAATAAAGTTCACATTTAAGATTAATAATCTATAACAAAAAAACACCCATTAGTTCCAAATATGATTTAGTTGGTGTACGTACATCCTGAGAGTTCATCACTGCCTACTTAGATTTTATAAGGCAGGTGGACAGATTTTTCCCCCATAGGTAACTCAGTCTTTAGTTCTGACAGTCATTCATGGGGAATTCCAGAAAGCCCAGCAGTTGTACAATGCATGAAAACCTCATCCGCATCTTATCTTAGATAAACAGTAATTATTGATACAAAGCAGTAGGACCTTTGGATGGACTCAATTGCTGTTTTTTATTTCTTCTATGCAGTTAGAAAATTGGCCGAATGTTTAATACTATCTATGTGACCTCTTAAAACCCCCAGTGGCCCATTTAGAGGACACCATGTTTCCCACCAAAAAGGTGTGTGAACTTTACACTTTTCCAAACACCTAAAGGCAACCCTGGAAAAGTTCCCATGGACTGGCAAAGCAAAGGCTGACACATTGAGTTGAAAAGTTCAGGTCTGCAAGAAGTCTCCAAGCTTCAACAAATGTACACTGAACTGTTTACTGCAGCCTCTGTGATGTTCTAATGAATGATGTTGTCTGGTAACCATCGTGGAAAACATAAAAAATTTTTATTGTTTGAGATTAGATGTTAGACTAATAGCAGCCTATAATTATTTTACAGCCGACTAAATATGAAAATTGTCTTATTTTTCCATACGAATTCTTACCTTATTAAGAAATAAATCTTGGATTTTAATACAGTTTATTATTGTTGCACCAATTTACAACATGTGAATTGTTGCAAAGCATCACATAAAAACTGAATTCCAATTCAAATCCAGTCAGAAAAATAGATTCCAAGTTGAGCACATACTGTGAATACAAAATTTATTCTAGTCATCAAAGAAGGCAGTTAGGGTTAGCATTGTATTTATAAAGGTTAAAAAGTTTTCTAAAAATAACCCATCTGATTTCAAAAAGTCACTGACTTTCAGCATTAATTCCTACTGGATGTGGACTATTGCTTACCTTGGGTTTTTCACTTTGAAGCAATCCAACCTAGTGATCATGCATAATGCAACAGTGGAAAGGAAAACTGCCCTTTACAGAAAAATTAACCTTTGCCAAACTATCTTTGTGTTAGCCACCATCTGGCACAACTGAATGGAGCTTTGAGAAGTCAGAGCATACAAAGAACACTAATGTGGGAGTAGAAAAGTAAAAAGTTAACATCACTGGTAGCTCCTCGTGTCTTCCCTGTGATAACCTGTGTTTAATAGATTATTTTGCTGCGTTTCACATTAAAATATTTTCTTAGTCAGTTTTCAAGTCTATAGGATGAAAGAGAGTACACACAGTTTTTCATGACGAAAGGTTCGATAACAGCTATGTCTCAGAGAAGGTTAAACACTGAAAGAAAGGGACGATAGTATTATCTATTGGAGGGCAAAATTCAAGGTTGAACTTTTTTTTATTTTTACTACTGTATTCAATCCTTTTTGAAAGGGGATGTCATTAGTTTGTTAAGCTAAGCTACTTTGGTCTTTAAAAGAGGCTTAATAAGAATTTTAAAGGTATAGTGGAGGATTTTCGCACATGAAAAATGCACATAAACAACCATTCCCGCTCCTGAGAGGGAACGATTATTATATGCGTGCAAGAGCATTCACAAGCACATTTCTCCTCGTGCGTGCTCTGTTTAAAAGTTGCTGTTTGCATCACTCATACATGCTTACCTTCCAAAAAAAGAGCTCAGACTCACCACCAGTAAATGAAAATGGGGATGAGCACGTAGGACGGCCTTACGTAAACATATCACCAGAATGACAATTAGGATGACCACTTATTTTGATGATCCACCCAGAAAAAGAACATCCTCCACTATACCTTTAACTACTGTATTCCTTTTTAGAGAGGATGCCCTTAGTTTGCTAAGCTAAGCTACTTCAGTCTAAAAAGTATTTTCAATTGAATGAAGGAACCTGTTCACTTTAAAACTAGATTTGTTTTAATGTTCTTTTTTTGCACACTTTGTTAAAAGAGTGTAAATAGACACATTGAGAAACCGTTTTTTTGTTGGTTTGTCGAAAAATACCAACTTTGTCTCACGCAAAACCACAGAACTATTGATATGGAACATTTCCAATAATTAGAATAAAGTCTGATTCCTTAGAGAAAAAAATATAAGGTACTTCTTGATGTTGAAAGCTAATGTGTTAAGAATAAGTATATTCACATCACAAATACTTTTGAGATGTCTACTGTAACTACTGAAGATAATTATAATGCTTTCACGTAACATATCATAACATATATGTACATATCTCTAATATTACAACTACTTAAAATGATCAAACTAGCACTTAAAAAATAGTCATAGATGATGTTTGTTAATCTAATTTATTTATTTAACACACAATCTAGAAAAAGCAGGCTGTGTTTTATTAATCTGAAAGAGGATAGGTGTCAAGAAATGTTTGATTTCATGATAACTAAGAGACTTTCTTCTGTCATCTGTCTGAGCTAAAACTTTTCCTTCCTGGATGGGTTAGCATCCTCCATCTGTCAAGCTTTAGCACCTTGGGTGACATTACACAGGATGTAAAGGGGGAACTTTAGCATGCAAGCTGATGTTATACTCAGTAAAATGAAAATAGACATTCTTATAAATACAAAAAAACATGACTATAAATACTTATTTCCAAGTAAGGGTAACTGAAATTTAATTTACACAAACTTTATTATTTAACAAATATTCTGGGGTGATCTAATTAAACTTAATAAATATGCAATCAGAGTAGTACTTTTATAAAATACTTTATTGCAGTAACCAAAAAAAAAAAAAGGCCAGGGAGTTAGAATGTTGGATGAATAATTTAGGTATATACATGTTAATTAGTTAAAGAAATGAAAGTCTATTTGCATGTATGTACAAAAATAACTTAAAAGAAATATAAATATAATAGCAACTTGGTTTCTTCAACTGTTCAAATTTAATTCTGCTCCTTTCCCACAGCTTCTTCCTCATCATCGCTTTCTTCATCACTGGAGTCTTCATATGGACAGATGGTGGCTTGGACCGGGTAGTTTCTCAGGAGCGTCTCTGCATCCCGGTACAGATAGTCAAAACATCTTGACTTTGGCCAGAACAACCTTAATACATAAAGAATTATAATTAATGTGATTCATGATAACTCTATGAAAAAAATGAGATATTTTTGATTAAAAAGAAAAAAAGAGATTGTTTCTTACTTGACTGGGTGTATAACTTGTTGAATCTTGGGCTGTAGGCTGGAGATCTGTCCATGCACAGAGAAAGGCTGGAAGTTAAGAGAACCAAATGTCTGCCACCATCCTCCAAAAAATTGCATATTTATCTTTTTTTTATATACTGTATCAAAGCTCACCATCAATTGCGCGGTTTTGTCCTCCGTTTTAGTCCACGGTCTCCACAAATTGCTATGCTGTGTGGGATTATTGGCTCCATTGTAATCCGCTGCTGATAATCCCGGCTTGGAGGCGTTAGTGTCCATGTTCTCTTTACGCTGATCTGGTCCGAGTTAAATCCCTTCTGGAAGTGAGACTGAAGACAAGAAGCTGGTATTTATCAGGGCCTGCAGGCAGCCCGTGCCAAATTGAACTTTGACGCGTCCCCAAGTGTCTCCATCAACCAAGATGTAAAGGTGAGAAGTCACACTTGGCCGACAAACGGCCATATGGCCACTATGCCTCTTTACAAATGTTGAATTTAGGAGATAAAGGGGGGGAAATCATGAGTTTGCAAGGAACATAGGGTGAATTAGTATCCCATTTTATGAAATCATTAATATTTTCACTCATTATGCTACATAATTATAGTGTATCATTAATGCATCCAATGATTTGAGGTGAGTAAAATATTTAGTTTTGCGTTAGACACATTGTTCCAGTTTTGCTTTGACATTTGGTATTTGCTGTTTAAGCTTATTATCTCACTTTATCTTAGCCATTTGGGGGTGAGGTGTGAACAAACACGTGCCCAATCAGATCCAATCGATCGCGTGCACATCTTCAAAGTCAGCTGGGGTGTTGGGGGGGTAGACACGCGCCACCCCAAAGTATCGGCAGCCTTTTGCGCAGGCCCTCAGCGCGCGGACAGGTTATTATAGCACCTTAACAGATGGATCTCTGTGCCATAAATTGGAAAACTAATATTGCTGTTCAAAAAAACGAGATACAGCAGTTTCCTACAGCAGGGCGCTTATCAGTCACCATCTTTATTAAAAATGTGTAGATAGGCGTTTTCATGTTGTAGACCAGCAGGTGGCAGAATGGATCTGTATGACAGCTAGAAACATCTTGGCTAATTAGTCTGCTGAAGAATTTTTTTGTAACACTGTGCAGTAAGGTGCCCTTAGACTTCACTGTGAAGTGCCTTTTTGGTATTTCACCTCATTCACAAAAATGGGGGATGCATTTGCAAGCAGCACTTGTTACAGGCAGACCTGCCAAAGGTAAATGATGCATGACCAGGCTTAGATTTTTTCACCCACTAGTTCTTCTAACATTACTGAACCTGTCTTAGGGGAAAAAGATACTAGAGCTTGGTGTTAATACGTCCACAAAGATTCCATCGTTTCCTTAGTCTCGGTTACTGCTTTCGGGCTAATTGGTCACCCTGGGCCCTTATTGACTCTCAGCATGATTCTCTGTTTTCCTGTGATCTGCCTCTTTTCCCTTTGCCCAGATAAGAACAATTAGGATACTAGCATGTTAGCAGTTTATTGGAATGCTCTTTAAATTGACAAAGATTTTGTATTTATTTGCTTATCTATAGGATGCATATTTTCAAATAGTTTGTTTTTCAGCAAGTAGATGGAAGTCAGCATAAACAAGGTGTACAGAGGTACTTGGTATAGGGCAAACTTGCATGACTTAGACTTTTCTTTGATACAGCATCACAAAGAATTGCATAATCATAAGAGGTAGGAAACAGATTTATAATTTTTAAGGTTTCACACAAGTACTTGTGCTGCTATTCCAGCTGCAAGATATGTGAGAATCCAACCTTTTTTTCCCATTTGTTTTTACAGGATTGTTCTACATTTTATTCCTTCTGCTGGCAACTTTGACAAGCTTCCCCATTACAATGGAAAATATCGGCACTCAGTTCATACAATTTCTTCTGTGTGCTGTGTAAATGCTCAGTCATTCTCCTAAGCACATTCCAAGTCAGATGCATAGGGGTTGATCATTGATTTGCATTGGACTTAAAATGTGCTTAGGAGGATGGAACTCGATGCTGCATCAGAGCTCCATCGACAGATTGCTCTATTGTGAGCTAAAATTACAAACGAAAAAAAACAAGCTCTTAAAAGGTGTATAATCGTGTTCAGAACGTTATCACTGCACTGTTTGCTGAGCTTCTCACTCTCAATGATTTGTTTGTTCACCCATGTGCCCTAATAACCCTCTAAGACCCCACAGAGAACAGCGGTGTTTATTGGAATGTATTTACTGTACATGTTTTAGATAAAAAAGGGACAAAGTAAAATTGGAGACCAGAATTATACATTATTTTACTTGTAAAAACAAACTGTATTTTTTGCCACTTCACAATTATGCCCTAACTTTTAAATTTAATGTGACAATATAGAAACATCTGCATGGAGTAAAAGTACTTTTTTTTTTTTTACTTATCTGTCAGCCACTTAGAAACAAAGACTCCAATTTGGCTGCTTTTTTATGGGGACATTTTTTATTACTGTTTTCTCTTGTCTCAGCCAATTATCTGACTTTCAATCAGAAGTTTTGCACTTTGAAGAACTTCACTATTAGAGATATTTGGCAAAAACATATATGAGTCAGAGAACATTTCACTTTAATTTATGCAGGATAATGATGATTTAGATGATGATGATAGTGATGATTATTATTATTACATGTAACTACATAATTTATTTTAGAAATCAAGCAAAACTCAGGAAATAAAGCTCAATTTGGCTAACTCAGTAGCAAAATTAAGAGTGAGACTGAGTTACAGTTATGTGCCAGTTCAGAGTTGTTCCAGAATGGAGCTTGCAAAAAAGACAAAATAAGTAAAGTAAAAAAAAAATAAAAATAAAATAAAGAAAAAAACACTCACTATGAGTGCACAGACAAATCTGAGTAAGCCCTTTTCTTTTTAGAGCTGAACCCTGGGATAATTTGGTAATAAAGGATAAGTTCCAGGAAAAAAAGAACAAGTGTTCAGAAGAACTGTACTGGAAGACTAGCATTACAACAATCTTTCAGTGTTAACTGTTTCAATGAGAACAAAAAAAAAAATATGTAGATCCCTTTTTCTTTTTACCAAATTAACATTTGATTCAACTGTATCTTTACTACAGTAGTTATCTACTGTATCACTAGTAAGATCTAAAAGAACTCTGAAAACTTATTTCCTTTAATGTATATTCAAAGAATGATCCCAGCAAGCCACATATTCACAAGTTATAGTTCTGAAAACCACACAACTTCAAGTTGCAGATTTTCTTTCTTTGGAAATTAATGACTTCATGTTTTAGCCTTTTAACTGAGTCAAGTTTAAGGCCACAACTGTTAGCTGCTAATTATGCAATTATCTTTCTCCTTCCCAGGGTTCTGCATCATGTTTTTAGCTGATGTGTGTGAATGTTTGTGCACGTTATAATTTCCCTCCTTTACCATGTGAGCTATCAGTGCTACAAGAACAGCAAAGCTCTCCTTTACATACAATGGAAAATATGCTTTGATGTTATTCTTCAAGCATTTCTGGTAATTGCACAGAGTATTAATAAACTTTGATAAACAAAATAAATGTCCTTTAGATCAATAGTGTTGAAAAAAATCATCAGTATTCTGATGGACATATCAAGATAGATCATTGACTTCTTGAAATGAAAGATGTTCTTTAAAATTTCACTAAATAATATTTACATTTAACAATGTAACTCAATGTTAAAATATAAAACCTTACAAATATAAAACCTGAAAGCACAAAATTGTGTAATTATGTCTGAGCTTATTTTTTGATGCATATATTTTATTCATACTTCATATTTCGTGCAGATTTATTAGTCATCGATTGGCTGTCAACGGACAGTCTGAATTCTGAAATCCCCTAAAAGTACAGTAACTCTAATAAAATTGTACTGAATTAAAAAATGACCATTGTAAAATTGAACTTTAAGTAAAGTAACAAGTAAAAAACATGTTTTCTGAGAGGAACAAGAAATGTGCAAACAAAAAGAAATGTTGGTCTTATATGAGACAATATGATGTCATTTACACATGCTAATAAAATATAATTAGCACATTTATATGGTTGAAGTCAAACCTAAACCAGATAATGATCAACTGTTGAATTCAACAAGCAGTATTTAAATGTGCAACCTGTTGCCTCTAATTTGAATATTTTTATCAAGTTATAAGTCATTTAAAAAAGTGCATTTACATGTCATCCTATACTGTCAAAGAAAATTATCACACTTTTTTATTTACCCTCACTTTCTTGTGTAGCTTAGAAGATGATTTTTTTTTATATGTCTTTATTCAAAATATGTTTACACTGCTTGATAACTGAAGAGAAAATATTAATTATAAGTAAAAGAACCCGACAAACTGTACTTAATTACAGTTACAGGAGTAAGTGAATAATTCACCTTTCACCTGTGGTAGCCTAAGGTAACACGAGGAGTTACAGTTGAGGTAACTGTATAATAAGTAAACCAGAGAGTATAAGCATCATCAAGCAAAAACTGAAAAAAGAATGACAGAAATGATTAGATGGGAGAAGAGGATAAGATGGATTCCTAGGATCAAAAAGACGGAAGGAGAAATGACCACTGGAAGAAGAAACATTAACAAAAGACTTAGATTTGGACGTGAAGTACTTAATCTAACACTTTTTAAAATTATAAACCATAACGGGAACTTTGACTGTTGAGGGGAGAATGAAACAGTAGAACATTTTATAAACAAAGAAATTATAAATGGTCTCTACTTATGTGAGGTTTCATCAAGTCCAATCAATCATTCACCAATTCATAAAAACACACTGACATATACCAGGGTGTGTTATTGATTTATTTATTTTTTTTGTTTCATTGTTTTT